TATATATATTATATATATACAGTATATGTATTGACATTTAAATCCTGGATATTCTCAAGTGGTTCAATCACACATGCAGTGGCCTGACCTTCCATTGAAATGTCATTCATAAAATACACTTAGCAACCTTTTCCTGCATTTGTAAACTGCATTTGACTATAAAACATTTTTTGGGTTTTTCCTCTGTACACTGAAAACACAAAAGGGTCGGAGTAAAAAAGGAGAATTCACTCACGTTAGCAACAGTTGCCACCAGAAACAGGACAAAGTAAATTAACATTCTACACTCTTCAGATAAACGGTCTCATTTTAACTGCAAACTGTCGTATTTTAAATAGACGCTGTCAGGTGTTATTATTGGCTGTAGCCAAATGATATGTTGTTCGGGGATTACTTGGCAGACAGTGCATATCTGGTAAAGCCTTTTATCACCGGTCTCAGATGAGAGAAAGCTTGAGCAGATATGGGTCTTCTTATTTCTACAAAGTATGTCAAAAAAAAAGAAAGTAAAAGAGCATTTATGTCTCCTAACAGGCCTCGGCTCATGTCTGCCTCTGTCTTATCTCCCCTCAGGTCATGCAGTCCCTCAGTGAAGACCACATGGACTGAGGAAGTCCCGATCCCAATGCTACAATGGCGGCTTTGTCCTCCCGGAGGTGGGATGAAGATAGATACCATAATTGCTTCCTTTTGCTCTTTTCACCGACCACTCCCTCATTTGTCGACGGCACCGATTCACTCAGTGACCTGGAAACATATCAGGAGACTAGGAATCACACTGAGGCTTCCCCACTCGGGTCATCTGTGGCCGGTAGAAAAAACACGGAGTCAGGAATCAAGGTTTACACGGCTCGCTGCAGAAAAGCAGAGCGAGAGTACAGTATGTACAGACACTATGATGGAAGTAAAACAGGAAGTGGCATGCATATTCTCAGTGGTTTGGCATGGAGCCACACTGAAGGCTCCCCTCTGCTACAGTCGTTTGTTAAGCATCATCAATGGATCAAACCATCTGTAGAGACTCGAGGCAATGTCTAAAAAACCCAAAAGGTTTTTTAACAACACCAACTGCTGCTCTGAATGGATTCCCAGAATCCCCAAAGACTCGCCTGAACTTTTTTTTCCTGAAGTTTCTACTGTATGTACATAATGTCTCTTCTCTTTTTTTTCAAAATATGAAAACATTTTTTGTATGAAAATATGTAATATTGGAACGAAACAACTGATAATATATCTGTATCAGTGGTGGGCTGTCAGGGCCAGCAAGGCCTTCTCTGCTGGTCTAGACACAATCACAAAGTTATAGCTATTTTATTATTTTCATAAATACATGTATTCTTAATGTGTTTCCCAGTAGCTTATTATCTCAAGGCGTAGCTACTGTCTTCCCCAGTTGCGCTGCTTCCATTACTGCTTGTTTTAAGTTGAGCTTTTATCCAATCAGATTTCGCCCCTATACTGCCTCTAAGTAAAACAATCTGCCCAGAGGCCTTCAGAATTATTTGACGTACCAGAGCCTTCTAGCTGGCCTACAAGTACGTCAGCATTAACGTGCGGCTTGATTGGTCAGTGGGCTAGCGTGACTGTTGTGAAAAGTAAAGTTTAAAGATATGAAAGACGTTTTTACGTGACATTACATTTTTTGCGTTTTGGCATATTTGGCGGTGACAATCCCAACATCTGCTGCCTCTATCGAGCCCTCAAACGCATTGAAACGTATTCAAGAAATAGAACTGGGGAGGCTCGACTGTCTTCACTGGCGTCCATGAATCGAACCTCTTGCTGGAACTGCACCGCACCGATGTACTGAACAACCGTCTGATTAAACTCTTTGTTAACAAAGAAAGGAGGATGGACTTTGTCTTTAAGTGAACAGCAGCTTTGATAAGTGAAGTGCTTTTGTTTTTACATCTGCAGTAGCGTTACTACTGTGTTAGATTTTCTATCGTGTCGTTTTTATGATATGATTACTATTGTTCCCTCTGATGTGAATAATATTTGAATAATGCTCTTTAGTGTGCGGTGGAATGCGTGTTTTGCTGGAATGTGCAGAGGCCTGCTGAATCGTGTTATTTGTGTTTTTCTACCTGCTTTGTTGTCATATAAATATATGTGACTGGTTCTTGTGAGTTTGTTCTTGTCATTGTGTTAATTACATTGATTTTGACTTTATGCATTGCCCGTTATTGACGAAGCATCCCGTCATGCTGGCGTCATAATGAGGTTATTCGGAGGTGGTTCAACTGTAGTAGGACAGCCCTGAAGGCCCAGGTATAAAATACACGACCCGCCACTGATTTTTATGTGTAGTTCTGGCAACTATTTTTTTTTAAATTTGGTAACAGCAATGGTGGAAGAATTCAGATCCTTTAGTTAAGTAAAAGTAGTCATACTACACGGAAAAATACTCAACTACAAGTAAAAGTCTGCAATCAAATGTTGTTAAAAGTTTCTAAGTATAAACAGCAAAATGTACTTAAAGTATCAATGTAAAAGTACTTAATGCCTGTAATGCAAAACGTCCCTTGTGAAGGATATATTATATTATGACATTATTAGATTGTTAACAGAGATGCATCAATGTGTAAGAAGCATTTTACTGTTGCAGCTGCTCAAGGTGGAACCAGTTTGAACTACTTTATAGGGCTGCGACTAATGATGACTTTTATTATGGATTCATGTGCTGTACAAATAACAGAATGGAAATACTCAAGTAAATAACAAGTCAGGTACATGTACCTCAAGTACTGTACTTGAATAAATCCACTACTTTCCACCATTGGGCAACAAGAGGACAACTTTAGTTTTTTTTTGAGAAATCTGGAAATACCTTCAGGACAGAAATATATGTTGTTTCAAAGATTGCCGTGTAGTCATTTCCCAGACAATTGGATGCTTTTCTTTGTGACTTGAATGTAATGGTGCTGTAATACACCGGAGGCCTAAACTGGGGCGAGGTTTTGTTGAAGTCGAGCATCTGCGGATCAGACCTATTGAAACCTAATATCTCTTTTAGAGCGAGCACATTTCCCACAAGTTCTGTGTTACATAACTTTGTGCAACGCTAACTGGGCGCTGACAGAGCCATTAGAGTAGGTCTCCGTTTATATTAACGTAATCGCTGGGATGAAAATCACATCGAGGGCCGTATCATTGTCACGGGGCGTAGGAACAGACACGGGGAAGTACTTTCTCCTCGTAGTAACGCTGAATAGAAGGCAGACCGTTATATCTGACCCCTGATGGTTCTTCATATCCTCACAGTGAACGGTGAGTGGGTGCTCAGCAGCGCTGGTTTCGCCTGATCTGAGTCACTGGAGTTTTCTATTCCCGTAACAACATGTGGGCCTCTTGGAAGTCGCCTACAATCTATCGTGCATTGTGCAGTGGGGAAAGACATTATAGAGAAGTAGCTGCTGCTGAAATGATGGGATCTTTCAGGAATAAATGCTGACAATAATCTCACGTCTAACTTTGACTGGCTCCAGGGATGGCTCCGTCTGACGGTTGGTCCACCACTTTGGTCTAGGGCTGGACGAAAAGTCAATATCATGACTTATCGTCTTTCAATGGAATCATATCGTGATGAAATCATATGTCGAGAAATCACCGCTGTTGTGGTATGTAAACACTGCTCACCACTGGCAGAGTTTATGATCATAAGGTGCCGTCCTTTCTATCTGCCGAGGGAATTTACAGCGATTCTGCTAGTCGTTGTTTACATCCCTCCCACCCCCAACAACAGTGACAGAAGTGCGGCCCTTTGTGAACTGTATCAGGCCATCAGTGAACAACAGACAGCTCAACCAGACGGCTTCACCATCCTCGCTGGAGATTTCAACCATGCTAACCTTAAGACTGTCCTTCCCAAACTACATCAGCATGTTGATTTCCCAACAAGAGGGGAAAACATTTTGGATCTGGTCTACACTACTCACAAAGGAGCGTACAAGGCCTCAGCCCTACCCCACATAGGACTCTCTGACCACATCACCGTCCTGCTAATGCCAGCATACAGACCAAGAGTGAAAGTCTCCAGACCGGTTCTGAAGCAGGTACGGGTGTGGCCAGATGGGGCCTCCTCCGCTCTCCAAGACTGCTTTGACACAACAGACTGGGGAATGTTTAAGCAGACAGCCACATACAACAATCACACAGACATTGAGGAGTACACAGACACTGTTACTTCTTACATTAGTAAGTGCATTGATGATGTGACTCATATAAAAACCATCATCACTCGGGCTAACCAGAAGCCATGGCTGACAGGGGAAGTGCATCGGCTGCTGAGGGCCAGAAACAACGCCTTCAGAGCCGGGGATGGAACTGGCCTGAGAAGAGCGAGAGCCGACCTGTCCCACGGCATCAGGAAAGCAAAACAGGAATACACGAATAAGATAACCAGTCACTTTAAAGACAGCAGAGATACACTGAGCCTGTGGCAGGGCATTCAGACCCTTACGGACTACAAACCCGTGCCACAGACCTGCGACAGCAACATCTCTCTGCTAAACAACCTCACCAGCTTCTTTGCACGGTTTGAAACGCAAAACAGCACACGTCCACACAAGACTCCGCCCCCTCCCCACGATCAGGCTCTGTGCCTGTCTGCTGCCAGCATGAAGAGGACACTCTCCACTATCAACACCCGCAAGGCAACAGGTCCAGACAACATCCCTGGTCGTGTGTTGAAGGACTGCGCAGAGGAGCTTAAGGATGTCTTCACGGATGTCTTTAATACTTCTCTGAGACAAGCTGTTGTTCCATCATGCTTCAAGGCCACCATCATCATACCTGTGCCAAAGAAATCCACTCCGTCCTGCTTTCATGACTACCGTCCGGTGGCGCTGACCCCCATAGTCATGAAGTGCTTTGAATGGCTAGTCATGTCACATATCAAATCCATTCTTCCCCCCACCCTGGACCCTTTCCAGTTTGCATACCGTGCCAAACGGTCCACGGAGGATGCAATCTGCTCTGCTCTCCACCCAGCCCTCACCCATCTGGACACAAAAGACTCATATGTGAGAATGCTGTTCATAGACTTTAGTTCAGCATTCAACACCATAATCCCACAAAAACTCATCTTCAAACTTGACCAGTTGGGGCTCAACACCTCGCTGTGTAACTGGCTGCTCACTTCCTCAGTGAGAGGCCACAAGCAGTATGTGTCGGCAACAACACCTCGAGCAGCATCACACTGAGCACAGGGGCCCCTCAAGGCTGTGTGCTCAGTCCACTGCTCTTCACCTTGCTGACACACGACTGCGCTACAACCTACAGCACCAATCACATGGTCAAGTTTGCAGATGACACAACTCTGGTTGGTCTCATCACCAACGACGATGAGACCCACTATAGGAAGGAGGTCAGCCTTTTGACCACGTGGTGCAGAGACAACAACCTCCTTCTGAATAACAGCAAGACCAAGGAGATTATTGTTGACTTCCGGAGAGGCCACACTCAACACACACCACTGACCATCAATGGTGCTGATATAGAGAGAGTGAGCAGCACCAACTTCCTGGGGGTGGACATCAGTGAGGACCTCTCGTGGACAGCCAACACAACATCACTGGCAAAGAAAGCTCAGAGGCGCCTCTACTTTCTCCGCAAACTGAAGAAGGCAAGAACACCACCACCCATCATGTGCACCTTTTACCGAGGCACCATTGAGAGCATCCTGACAAACTGTATCACTGTGTGGGGCGGAAGCTGCACTGACTACAACAGGAAAGCCCTACAGCGCATAGCGAACACAGCTGGAAGGATCATTGGTGCCTCACTCCCCTCACTCCCCTCCCTGCAGGACATATACGACACTCGCCTCACCCGCAAAGTGACTATGATTGTGCGCGACTCCAGCCACCCCTCACACAGTCTCTTCAGCCTCCTGCCCTCTGGGAGAAGATACCGGAGCCTCCGTGCTCGCACCACCAGACTCTCAAACAGCTTCGTCCACCAGGCTGTTAGGAAGCTGAACTCTCTGAACTCTCTCCCTCCTCTCTTTTAAGACTCCCCATGTCCAACTGCTGCTAAATCCCCATGTCCAACTGCTGCTAAATACAGATTGATAGTTTTTCTGTTTTTTTTTCTCTTATTATATATATATTGTCTAAATGTTTTTTTAATCTATTGCACTGTATTCACTTTATATGTTTATATGTTTATATGTTGGACTAGAGAGAAACATCTTTTCAACTCCCATGTATGTCCAGTACATTGTGGAATTGACAATAAAGCAAACTTTGAACTTTGAACTTTGAGATATCGTGATACACAATTACGTTGGCTAAATTTATATAAGGAGAACATACTCAGAAAATCTGATTATTTTGCACTTTGTTCTTAATTAAATGAGAAAATACTCGTCATTTGTCAAGTATTTCATTCACTCAAGAGTATACAAAATATGTGGTTATTTTATATTGACTATTAACTTAATGAATTACCAGAAAACATGTTATATTGTGATACATATTTTTATTGAGATATGAAATGACCTATATCAGGATCAAAGACTTTGGCCATATGGCCCAGCACCACTTTTGTCCAGACTAAATTACCAACAGCTATCTGATTGATGGATTGCCACAACATTTTATACAGACATTTACTTTTTTTCCACGATTCATCCTGATAACTTTGTCGATCCTCATCCAGCACCATCGTCTGGTCTAAATTCGAGCTGCACTTTGTGTTTAGCGGCGATTAGCAAATGCTAGCATGCTAAAACGCTACGCTAATAAGGTCAACGTGGTAAACATTACACCTGCTCAGTTCTTCGCATCAGCACATTAGTGTTGCCATTGCAGGAAAGTTAGCATGCTGATGATAGCATTTTTGCACAAAGAACCGCTTCACAGAGCTACTAGCATGTACTATTTGTCCAGCAGAGGCCACATGCAGCACCAATGTGCTGAGGTCGTTACGCAGCACACATCTTCACAAAAAACAAATTCCGACACAAATGGATATACTTATTTTCCTCTAATCTTTTTTTGTGTGTGTGAACTAATCTTATTTCATCAGGAACCCAAAAAAAGGAGTCACTCTTTAGTTGAAATGGTCACAACTGGTAAACATCTGTGACTGGTGATGAGCGGTCTTAAGTAGACACTAAAAAGGTTTGGAAAAACTGTTCTAAAAATAAACTTTGAATCCAAGCAGCCACCCCTTATGCACAAAACCACTCACCCCACAAGGTGTCGGGGATCAGGAGTCTTCTTGTCTGTGAATGAAAGAGGACATCTTTAGTATTTCACACGGTTATTAAATAATGCAGAATGACCACCGCTCTGCCCGGCTTAATCTTAGCTAAGGTGCTGCAGGTATCAAAAAGTCCAAACTGATGAAAGAGATACACGCACACTTAGATCTATGCAGTCAAATAAAGCGTTCACTGCATAGATCTAAGTGTTCATGTATCTCTTTTCTTATATTTGTTTTAAAGTAGACATCGCTGGTGTGTTTGTTTCTTGGGGTTCTTGGTAATCAGATTATGTGATACAATGTGGTCACGAGACCACCAGCAGTACACAAAAAGTATGGTCTACAGATGTACTGATTTACTGACATACAGAAGTTTGTTTTTATTCAACTAACTTAATGCAACTGGGGCAAATCATGCTCTTTCAAAAAACAAAAAAAAACAATAGTACTTTAAATTAGACATGTCTAATACTTTCATCTTGTTTTTCATATGCCTTCAATTTGGATCATTGGGGAAAATAACTAATACATTTGTATCACTTTCTGTGACCATGTGTGAGATTTTAGGAACCTAAATTACTGTCATGCTCTAAATAAGTAGTTTTTTAAAAGGTTTTTGTAGTAAAACTCATCAGTACAGACAATCAGATGACTTTGATGACTCCAATTAAGTTAACATGCTCATACTGCAATGAGTGGTAATGGGTATTGAATATAGTGTCACTATGATAACCAAAAAGTGTACTCAAGCGTTTGGGCCAAGTTATCAATATGTCTCACTCAGCAGATTCCGCCGTACCGTCTGTGCAGCCTTCTCATTGGTCCATTGTTAATGACGCCTAATTAATCGCCCTCAAATTCAGCTGAGGCGCGTGTACGCGTGAGAGCGGAAAAAGCCTAGACAATCCGGGGATGTCGTACAAACAGAGAAGAGATATATTAACGTTTTTATTAGTTGTAACCGTTTATTTGGACATGTTTCGAGTAAGTCATTCGGTAAGTTTAGGACAGCGTGGGGAAGGTTCAACTGCGTACAAAGTTCAAAAGTCAACCGCGACCAGGTGGGAAGAGATTGAACAAGACAACGACGCCCAGCAGGGAGGCCGGTACCGGAGTGAACGGATCAATCAGGGCCCGAGTCAGCGCAAATCCTCCCAGCCGGGTCGCACGGAGCTTCGGCCTGAATCTGCCGTGTTCCCCGCAGAGCCAATCTCGTATTACAACGTACCGACACTTAGTGACAGCTGGTCTTGGACTGTTGGTAATATCAGAACGGAACCGATGTCCTCGCCTTCCGACTCTGGAGATAGATATCAAGCAGATTTTACAGGTAAAAGCCTCACCACAGATTCAACAAATCAACGTATACCGGGGGTGTAAGTACTATATGTTTACCAGAGAAGGCTGCGTGAAAATGTGACCTCAGGTGATGTAATTTGAGTCAGCGTAACTGTAAAATAGCATTTTTACTTTTATATTTTTTTCCTCCATTTTATGCGACTTTATACATCTACTCACATATTGTACTTTTTACCTCACTACATATATTTAAGAGATTTAATTACTTTTTCAAAATAAGATTTTACATACAAAACACCACTAGTTTATAAAATATTGTCTATTATTATAGATTTAACTTAAAGTATTACAATTTTCTCCACGTTGACCAACTACAACATTGTACTTAATACGATGTCTGTTCTCGAACATTTTAAGTTCTGGACTAGAGTATTTTTAAACTATGGTATTGCTACTTTTACTGATAATGATTTGCATACTTCTTTCACAGCTGTGCAGGAGTGCTTTGGCATGGATCTGATCTCATCTTTGTTTACATGCTGATTTGTATCCTTTTAGGTTTTCATGGAGTCCAGGGGAAAGTTTTGGGCCCTTCACCTGACTCCAGTTCCCATGTCTCTGAGTGGCTGGCTATGAGCCCTGAGGTGCAGTGTGAAGATAGTGTCATGACCTTCACTGCCTCTGGGAAAGAATTGAGACACCTGTTGGTGGACCGAGGTGAGACGTATGATGCTACGTAGTAAGGGGGCAATGTTGTTGGTGGACTATGCTAATGTGGGGGGGAAGGACATCTTGTAAAGTATGCAAGGGGCCCACAGCTTTAGTGCAGAAACTAAGAGGCAACATTTCACATGGCAAGGAGAGTGAACGTAACTCGTATATACAAATAATTGCCAACCGGTTTTGCCCCCTGTTTGATGCTGGTGAAAATATTTACAGCAGCTGCAAAATGTTTTCTATACAGGTCATTTAAATGTACATGACATGATGAACTTGTGGTGAAAACCATGCTGTACTATTGTGTTTATGCTGACAGTAACCCCCATTTTAATTTTATATTAATCTGCTATTTTCAATTCATTGATAATTAATTTATGCTGTAAAATGTCAAATAAGTAGATGTTGCCATCACAATTTCCCAGAGTCCTAAAATTGCTAGTTTTGTGCAGCCCACAGTTCTAACCATAAACAAAGAATTGGCAAATCATCACTTTTAAGAAGTTGGAACCTGCGGATATTTGAGCTTGATAAATGCTGACTAATGGATTAATCGCGTGACTGTTTCGGCACTAAAATGAGTTCAACATTCTCTCCACAGAGGAAGCCTCTCCCATCTCCCCGTTCCAGTTACCTCCGTACTGCCGTTACTCAGTGAGGACGTCATGGAGTGACCTTGAGATGATGGTGCCTTATGATGCATGTTACATTATACAGGAGGTACCACCAGCAGCACCAGCACATATCTCCACCACCAGTTACTCCCTTGTCCTGTGTTCATAGCCCCCACCCTCTTTTGTTTTTCTTTCTCTCCGTCAGAATGGCAGTTACGTGTTGCCCATGTTGTGGTGGGGCAGCCCACTGAAGCTTTCTTGTCCGGTGCAGACGTCCACTCCTGCCCCCCCCGTCTCCAACTCTGCCCTCTCAGTCGTGTGCTCCTCCTACGGCATGGCGGTGCAGATAAATGAGCAGGATATACAGATACTGGGGGTCATAGGTATTTTGTTTTTATTGGGGGAATAATGCCGAGTGGTTTGACAAATTGATTATTTGTTTTTGAGAACAACTCACTTTGTGCATGGTACTATATAGCTTAGTATAATATAATTCACATGTGTTACAAAGCAAATCTTTAGATTAATTTGCCCATAGTACATTATATAGGAATAATTAAAGTCTAGATTTAAATCTATGCAATTCTTATAGTTTGCATTCTACAGTTATCAATTTATAATTTTTATTTATTTTTTTGTCAGGCTCATTGCAGTGTCTTTAGACACTAGCTATAGAATCAAATAATTTGTTGTTTATTTCCAGGGGATTATCAGAATTTACACAAATTTTCAATTTTGATAAAACTTATTCAAAGACTATATAACATACATGTTTGACATTTTTGTATTTTATTATTCAGTTAGTGGTTAAATTACATTATTTAGGTGGAATTTCCTTACAAGAACATTTAACTAAAATATTTCCCTGTAATTATACAAGATTTTTCAAGATCACCTCCTAGGAAATTCTGGACTGGTGAAATGTTTTTTTTTTTTTTTTTTGTTTTTTTTTTCTCTTCCCCCCACAACACGAAGGTGAACATGCTGTAT